ATCCATACTACTACTTCTCATCAACATCAGAGTTAAGGAAAAGAAAACCCCCGGTTCAAACCATATAATCTCAAGCATTTCAAGATACTTCTTGAAGAGACATTTCATTTCAAGATACTTCTTGAAGAGACATTTCAAGAAGGGGAATAGAGCGTTCGAGATAATACCCTAGTCAGGTGGGTGTTACGTCACTTATTGTTTGCCGGTACAACTCAAAATGAATGAATGAGCTATGTATACACTGGATTTCAATCTCACGATGGGAGGAAAAGAAGGGTTCACTGTGTCCCTGGGTCGCGATCTCCGCGGCGAGGACATGATGAGAATCTTAGTGTGTTCTCCGAAAAAGAGTATGACTTCGGATCCCCAGATCCTTATTACCATCTCCGGCTACTTGTCTTCTGAACACGAACAGCAAGCCGTTAAGCACTGGTCGTTACTCATGCCTCCAAGCCTGATCATCCCGACTATAAACAGTCTCACTAACGCGGTATAGATGTTCCTGGATCTCGACCCCATTAGGTAAATCGTTCTCGTCAGCCCTCTTTCCAGCAGCCTCCTCGTTCTCAGCAATACCAGCTCTGACGTGTCTCGCCACAAGTCTCTTCCTTGCAACGGGAATATCTACTTCCACAAACCACCGCTCATCCATTAGTTCTGCAGCCTCATTCCAAGGCGCCTTATCCAGTACAACGTAGTTCCCCTCAAACACTATGATTCTGTGCTTTGGCAGAATCGAAATATCGTTCTCTTTGGGGTCCTTGACAGCGTGGTCGAAAGACGGGGCGTATATCGTCTGGGATTGTGCTGTGAGAGGTTCCCGCAGCGCCTTTACGAGAGAGCGAAATGCTGAACCATCAAATGTGAATTCGGCGCCGCGGCGGGCATGCGCATTCTCTGGATTTGGCATAGCAGAAAGTTGGGCACGTGTCAGGTGGTATCCGTCCATCGGCACGAAAGCCGCGATACTATCCGAGTCTGGGTTCTGTTTTGCATAACGCGCGTTGAGAGATTCCGTCACGATCTGTGAGAGTGTTGTCTTTCCTGATGAGACATCAGTACCAAGCAGATGGCATCAGATATAGCGGACATACCTGAGCCGGGGATACCGCCTATTGCTATCACTTCTGGATGTCAGTTACATAGATCATATCTTGACGACCACGACAGCTAGAAACCATATAGATAGGAAAATTACTAGACTCACTGAAACGTTCGTCTTTGGGCTTCGCCTGGAATTTACTCCAAGCCTTGTCTACCAACTTCGCGACCTGGTCGTCCATATTTGGCGTTGAGTTATACTCCAGAAGTAATATCGAAAGTCGAAAGAAAAGTTCTAAGAGAACCGTGAAGAATTTATTTCAGAATTCCATTCCTGAATTTTATCCCCAGTCTCCAAATTGACGTTGGAATGCTCTCTTATTCACACAGCTCCAACGCGTACATCATAACTGCCCCTCCAAAAGCCCCGCTAGGAGCACTGTGCTCCTACGTACAACCCACATACTTTCAAACGGTTTTACTTCAGTTCACCAACCTCGAGAACAATTCCCCAAAGCCCAAAGATGTCAACAGAAACAGACACAGCCCTAGACTCGGGCCTCTTCGCAATAGCCCTCTCCGACTCCGAAACAGAAGGCACGTCCAAGAAACCCACGCAGGAAGAGCGCACGGGACAATCCGAGGCAGATTGGCAGGCCATAAAAGACACTTACAGCGTCAAAATCGAAAACGGCGAGGTATGTGCCAATAAATCATGCAGACGTCTGCTGCCTACCGACCTCCTCCCCTATTAAAACACTCATCACATATCTCGCTTGCATTCATTCACTCATCCATTGGTCACGAGCCCCCCACCGGAGTTTACATCGACCAAGGAGTTAACGACGATTACTCAAATAGATATGGCAGACTGTGAAGTTGCCGCTCGGCCCGCGGGTTTCGAAGCCCGAGGCTCAGACCCTCTTGCACGCTGTCGAGGAACTGTACTTTTTCCGGCGGTTTGGTGAAGCTGTGCAGTTCGTCAGCAAGGTGTTGGATAGTGCTGAGGAGGGTTGCATAGATGGGGATGTGCTAAAGACGTTACGATATTACGAGAGGAAATGTAGGGAGAAGGCTGAGATGCAGGAATAGGCTGGTGAAATGAGTTCGGATGGTTAGGAGTTGAAGATACCCAATTACAGTTCACGTTCTACTGCAATACAGAATAGAGGTCATTCGAAACGGATGTGAAGAGTGTGGTATTATCGTGGTACCGTGGTCGTCCGACCGTCTAATCTCATCTAAGTTTTGTTGCATGCCAATCCGAAAGTGAAGTGGCTATCATCATAAATCCAGCGATCTCTAATCTCTATGAAGCCGATCGCTGAGTATACCCGGAACGCCATGCTTTTTGCTTTTCCCTGCTCAAATTCTATCGAGGTTCGTTGTACAGTCGTGTCTAGTACGAGTTGGTATTGCAATGTTTGTGCTTCGCTCTTGGCGTCAAAGAGGTGAAACTATGCTGCCATCATCTTCTTGCCTTCACTGCGTGATCGCTCCTTCTCGCGCTCCTCAGCGAAGACACGTCGGCTCATGGCGAGAACGCACTCGAAGCCTTCCCTACCCTTCAAGGCGTTCTCGCGGAAGCGGGTGGCGAGGGTGTCTTCGATGCCGTTCTTGATGCGCTGCCATCCACCACAGAGCGCTGTGATCCTCGCGGTTTGCTCGAACTCGGTCTGGGTGGCGCCGAGAGGCCGGTAGGTGACGGTTTCTTGTACGCTGACGAGATTGGCTAATGTCAAATTCTGCGAGACCATGGTGACGGTCTTGTCGGCGGGGTTGATGTACGATGTCTCAAAGACCTGGCTCGTGTCGGCACAGCCCAGGATGGGCTTCAGCCATTCAGGAGCAGCTTGCTTGCAGGTGATGAGTCGTTCGGTGCGAAGGATGCCAGTCTCGGCATCGACGGATCGTGATAGCGTGTCAACGGCGATGACGTGAGATGACTTGTCGTTCCATGGGCTGTACTTGAGCCAGTTGGCTGTTGATACATGCTCCCAGGAATAATCGAATGTGCACGTGTTGGAGAAGACCTTCATTTTGAAACGTTGATGAAAATGAGTCGTGCGATGGCGATTTATGATGTCGCGATGAGTTCTAGGCTGTAGAAATCGAAGAGATCGTGTTGTGTGTCCCGTTGGACGAATGGATTTGCCGTGGCAAAATGTTGGATGATGACGCCGATCGGGGATTCGGCTGCTCACGCGTGGATGTTTTCCGGTGATGGAGTGGTGTTGTGAGAGGCTAGGTATCGTCTAGCCTTGTCTTCTATTAACAAATTGACTGAACTCTCCTCGTTCAGTTGTTCTGTCGATATAATGAAGGTGATATTAGCCGTGTAGTGTTTGGATGATAGGAAGAAAAGATGGGTTGTTTGATAAGGATGCGTACTTTTCTAATTGAATGGCCCAGAAAAGTTCATGCACAGTCCGCAAAACCGGAACGCCGCGACAAGCAGAGTTTGCTTTGTGACTGGGGGTGTCATAGCGCCTCTGCAGCTCTCGACTCGGCGTCTCTCCGTAGACTCTGCTGCATTCCGATAAGACCGGGCACTGTATTTTCCCTGAAGACAGAGAAATTGGACGACTTGGGATTGGCTGAAAGACGTCAAATGCAAATCACTTTACCATATCGGGTTTAGCTCCAGCCTATCTAAGAAAACCTATCGGAATCTGGAGACAGACTCTCCGCTTGGCCGACCCGTCATTGGCTGCGAGTCTAGATCCCGAGAAGGCCCGAGCTTCAGCCCACCCGGTTCCAGCTCGTCATTCCCCGCGGCCGCCAACTATGAACAACGAGCGGAGCGCGACTGCGGAGATCTGCTCTAAAACCTGCCAGTTTTTCTGGTGAGCACACGACACGAACCGAGGAAAAAAGATCGGCAGGGTCCAGATCAGCTGGCAGATCTCATCATCGAGAAATCGACACTATGCCATTGGCCCGATGGGGTCCTTTTGTTGGTTACAGAATCAAACAGCCCTGGAATTCGGCCCAGTCTTTATGTGTACCGGTTGACGTCAGTCTTTATTCTGCTATCGAAATTATGACTTCAGTCTTTCAAATCTGAATTGATTATGTAGTCGAGGACGAGGACGACGAGACAAGACATGATGCTCCAATTCGATAACAAAAGAGTCGGATTCGAGACATTTCATCGCTTGAAGACTCGCCGATTCCAGCCGGGGTGCACTCCTGATAATTGTGCGCATGCAGCTTGACGCTCGACACCAATCTCGCCAAAGGTACCAACTTATCAGGCTAAATTCGTAGAATACCTAAGTTGAAAATATCATAGAAGTTGGTATCGCAAATTTGTGAAGTAATAAATCGCCGAAATTCGAGTTTGAAGCCATTTGTTCGCAGGGCATAGCAAGCGAGGCAAGCAGCCAAAATATGCACGGTAGCGGGCTCTCGCATCTGCGCCTGATTTGGAACTAGACGAAGGCAGCATCATGTTGACTGTTGCTTATCTCAACAGTCCGCAATTGACAACAGTACATACGATAGCATACTTTGATTCGCTCACGAAGCTTCGGATCTACAGCAAGGATTAGTAGAATGGCTATTTAGTGTACATTGATTTACCAACATTCAAGACGAGGATCCGCTCAATGGCTGTCAGCAACTTTTCCCCTTGAGTCTCATCAACCCAAGTCGAAGTTTTAGGACTGAATTAAATGTGATATACTCGAGCATATTACGCATACATAGGTAGTCCGAATAATGGTTATCAGACACATTATGTCGTGATCCGGCTACGGTTATAGTCAATAATAGCCACAATTGACCAGATTGCACTTCTTCGTACCAACGATTCATTTCACCAACCTGTGCGGAAGTAAAAACATTGTAGATTCATATAGATGGATGCTGAGGCCCCTGAGCCATACTATTTGAGAGTGAGTGTGGGATATGTAGTGCACAGAGTAGAGTCACAGATGCAAAAATGAGACTTTTCATGGTCAGTATAGGGCTTGAACCTATGGCCTTCGCAGTCCTTCTTATTTCAGATCCTGAAACTGGATGTAATTGCGATGCTCTGCCAACTGAGCTAACCGACCTTTCTTCTTGTAATCTGAAGGTTGTAACTCGTGTTATGAAGACGTGACGGATCATCCGCGGAATACGTATGTGCTGTAAGCAAGGCTGGGCCCCTGTAGACTATATAAGCTCAAGGTCGAGGAGTTGAGATGGCGGTATTTGAAGTGGTGGAAGTGCCCGGGTGGTATGGTCGGAATTGTGTCTCTGGCTTCCTTCTAAATTGATAATGTAGAAATAGTGCGCCGAGGTATGGCATGGTGGACTTTTGTACTTTGCCATCATTCCCCTATCTTCGACTGTGCATTATCGCTCATTACTCATAATGCTCGCAAAGACCGTCTTCGTGATGGCATATCCCGCGTCAGATATGTCCCCCGTTCCAGGATGGGTAGTGCAGGGCTGTAATTCACGCTATGTGATACCTACTCAATTCATAACCGGCGGTAAGTTTCGCCACTGTGAGGTCTTGTTTGTCACGGTATGACAAAGATGATCATCAAAAGTATCAATAAACTCTGTAATTGGGAGGAGAAGTAACGTCAGAGCTCTCACGGAGGGAGAGCTGACTGATCGTGGAAGCTTCAGGAGGTACCTTAGACGCTCGCAAGAGGGGGTGAAAAGGGGATGAGATTCCACCTGACAGGTACCGAACCGATTGTCCTACAAGTAATATGTATATACACACATATCTGAGCCCCTGTGAAGCACGCCGAGTTCCTCAGATGAGAACCCGAATACGAGGGCCATTGCGTGACAAGGATGGGATACTAAATGGAGGTTGTTGCGTAAGGAACATTTTCATGTTAAGGGGATTCGCATTGCAAGTCGTTACCGAGAAGCAAAAACGGGTCAACAGATAAAGAGTAATATGCTAAGCAAAAACCAACAATACAACATCAACTGACGACCCAAGTCATATTACTACTACTTCTACCTCCAATACAATGTCACTCCTAGCCCTAACTGGTCATTTATCAGCATACTAGGCAGGATACTCTTACATATCCGTGGTAACACGTTTGCTTTGATCATGCCGGCATTTGAGTACCTTTCGTATATCCGTCCTCGTCACAGAGCCTCAACGAGTGCCAGCGAAATGATAGTCTTTACCGTCAAGGGACTGCGTGGTATATTCATCCAACCCCCTTACGAGCACGAGATCTGGTATGTTAAGGAACTCCCGATGAGGTTCGTACTTGCCACATAACTTTTAGAGTCGTAGGATGAACGCCTTTGGAAGACCTTGAGTAGCGAAACCCGCCCACAACTCGGTGACGAGTACTATTACGGACATCAATAAGTGATAACCCGATCGATACTCATGCATAGCCAAGCTATAAAACACTCGCACTGCAAAGCGGTAAGGACAATGCTGATACGAAGCCGTATCTATAAGAAGACTGATACTGATTTATTGCATAGCAATACTTGGAGACAATTTCGCTCGCTATTGATCTAATTCCACTACAGCGCGACGACGGAGGAAAGCGTGATATCAGGATGCTCGTTTTCTAGTCTTGCTCGGATACGTAGGTACGTACCACACATATACAATTATGGATGTGTGTTGAGATTCGCATTCGATCAATAATAAACAGGCAATACTCTGAGGTATCGCAAATGTCTTAACCTCCCACTCTTGAGATGCTTCATCTCTGACGCCCGATCATTGGGATTGTTTCAAGGCGGGGCGACAGACACCATTTTATCGTCATCATCTCGGTCCACGATGATTTACGAAGCTAGAATACCGATTCATGAGGCTAGAATACCATAGGGCCACGGGGAACTCACGGTTGATCTTTAGAACCTTCGCCCCAGTTGGTGTATGATGGATTGTTTGTTTAGCCAGATCGAAGGCTGAAGGGATACCTGAAAATTGTGCAATTTGATCAAATACTTGGCAGGTCAGACTTTGACATTGTTCATGTTTTTCATTTCATCCTTTCTCGTTACATATTTGCGTTTTCATGAATCATGAATAGTTGTCCAGGGGACGAGTTGAATACTACGATCAAACGTTACCCATGTAGTTGCTCTCGACGCATCTAGTAATCCTCGCCACGGCTAATGACCTCCTTCACATTCGGTCGGAGTAAGATAGTCTATTTTCAACTATTAGTATCTCACGAAGCAGACTTCGGCGGGGTTAAACTTACGTGCTCGAACTGGGCAGTATAAGACCCCTTCTTGTCTACCAACGGAGGGTAGTCCTCAACAATTCCAGATTGGACAAGGTTATTCAGCTACAGCACCTTAGTCAGTCTCTCTATTCCTAAATCTGCAAAGAGACAGAGTACTTACACCCAGCAGGTATTTCTCCTGTCCGAGTCTATCAAGATATCGTCTACACCAGGGAATAGTGCTGAAGTTCTTCTTGATAACATTCAGGAGACTCTTCGCAGACGAGAGTCGCAAATCGACCTTTGGCGCGTCGCTCTTGAGAGCGTAATGAGAGACTTCGCCCTCATCATGGACATAACCGTTCCCGGTACTGCCGAAAGTCTCTATGGCGAATACATCGCCCTCCTCCATCTTGGTAGAATCAGCCGACTTGACAATCGGCACACTCTTTGTCCCGTGGATGCTGTAGGGCAGAATGGTGTGTCCAGACAAGTTGCGAATCGATTTAACAGGATATGTCGTGCCGTTGATCTCACACTCGTAGCTCTCCATGGCTTCCTGGATCTTCTCTCCGAGTTCTCCTAGGCGGACGTCGATGCCGGCCTCCTTGACACCGGTGTTCGTGGCGTCTTTTACGGCGGCCAGCAGATTGTCGTACATAGGGTCGAAAGCCATGGTGAATGCACTGTCGACGATACGTCCGTTGACGTGGACACCAATGTCAACCTTCATGACATTGCTCTGCTGAAGCACCAGCTTGTTGCCCGCATTCGGGCTGTAATGAGCAGCGATATGGTCTAGGTTGAGACCAGTGGGAAAACCCATGCCGGCAACAATGGCATCACCTTCGCTGAGACCGTCGTGTCCGACAAGTCTACGAACGCTGTCCTCAATGCCATTGGCAATCTCGGTCAATGTCTGACCGGGCTTGATATTCTTCTGAGCCCATTGGCGCACCTGGCGATGCGTCTCGGCCGCTTGACGGTAATCGGTCAGGAAGTCGCTGTTGAGATTGTCCAGATGTCTTTTCTCCTCGTTCGTAGTGCGGTAGGCGTTGTCGTTCAAGTACTCGCATTCCTCGCCCTTGGGGTAAGAATTATTGGGGAAGAGATCGGAGATCAGAACACTCGGAGGATCAGTTTGAGCAGTGGGTTTCTTGTTCTTCTTCTTGGGCTTTCTCTTCTTGTTCTTTTTCTTTTTCTTCGCAGCACCGGTGGCCTCGGCTGCTTGGCCGTCGGCTTCGTCTTCTTCGGACTCGTCGCCCGAATTCTCTGCGGCGTTCGCTTCGGGTGCGCCGTTTACTGCTTTCTGCGCGGCTCCGTTGGTATCGCTCACTGTGACGTGTTAGCCAACTTGCGTAAGAGGACCAAGGGAAGGTGATATAAGATCAGTAAGCTATGAAAAACTCACCGCTGAGCTTCTGAAGCTCGTCTTGAGGCACTGCGGCAGCCATGATTGCATAAACCTTGAGTAGACCAGCCTCTCCAGCCCAATTCGCAAGGTTCACCTCAAACTTGATTTTATATGGCTGTGCCGTGTAACATTAGAACCTACGGGACCCCGCCAACATTTTACTTTGCAAGGCCCCGCGCCCTTCGGAGTGGCATGGAGGGCGCATGCAGGCCTGCCGGGCAGTGGGGTCCAAACCCTTGCTACCTGCGTAGCTCCAAGCTCCATTTCTAGATCGTGCATCCACCTACCGACGTCGAGCGTCTCTTCATACCATGTACAGTTTAAAGCCACCTGCATGCTTTACGATGATTTCAGAAACGCGTGAAGAAAAAAACAAAAGGTTCAGTACATATGATGAGTGCAGTAACATCTTCGTTCACACCGTGGCATTGAAGCTCATTGCGTATTAAGGGGTAGCCGAGTGTCATTTCGGTACCGACCTCTTCAGCCATCTAGACGCATTCCCAAATTGCCTATGCGCGCACTACCTTACCTGTACGCAGCCATGGGCAGAACATTGAATACATTTGTATACCCCCCTTATCATGAATAATCGTTGAATCTGTTGAGTAGGCGGGCTTGTACCTAGGTAGGTACAGACTGGATCGATTGGAGATATGATCTTAGGCATAACCCTAGGTATGGTGCAATCTTCGCGTACTTATCCCAATTTTCTACGGACTATTTTGTTTGTTTTATTGATTAGACAATATGCGTTGTATCACAAACTGAGCGCATCGACTCTGTTGTTCGTGGCATGCTATCATAAGGCAGCTACTTGGTATCATATCATATCTTTACCCTCTCTTACGCCGCTGAGATGGAAATGTTTTCCAACTATTTCTTGAACGGCATGGTTAATCGTCGAAGATCGCCGTCCATGGGAGTGGTTGAGGGCCATCTGCGAAACGTGTGCGTTGATCAGCACTGGCAGAGCTTGAAGCAGTGTAGAGATCCGTTCCCTGCGCAGGCCCTGCTGCGTCGCTTGGCCCCGGCGCGCGGTCCTTGCCTTTCTATCGCTTCTTGACGCTTGGTCGAGGCTTGCACTCGTCTCCCTGGACCGGATGCAAGACAACCTTGTTCGGATATGTCTGGCTGTTGCCCATGTAACCTTTGCTCCAGTCGTAGCCCACGGCGTACGCAAATATCGTGCCCGAACTATTGAACGTCGTTGCAGTAATGCTGCCTCCTACAGTCGGATAGCCCTTGAGGCGGTGCTTAGCGTCCTTGTCCCAGAAATGGAATGTTCCGTCGGAACCAGCTGTGCTGAATGTGCCGTGCTGGGGATGGAACGAGATATCGTTCACCGAGTAGACCTGGGTGATTGAGCCCGATGGAGGGTCACGGTGGCATTTGAACGAGAAATTTGAGCTGTTATTCGTGTTAGCATACTGAATTGGACGATTGCCGATTCTAGGGTGAAATTCACCTGGAGTCCTTATCC